AGAGATCTAGAGAGTTCCTTGTTTTATATGTCAATATCGATGATTTCTATCACACAGATAGCTTAATTACAGGACTGTACACCGTTAGAACATCATTTTAATTATTCATTTAGCTGAGAGATGGACGTCGGGTTCAATTGTGAACGGAAACCTTGCCAACCAACTCAGTAAACACACTACACGACCCGAGGTAATATTACAAAGTAGACTACGTTTTTAAGCATTAAAACAGAAAGACAGATAGATAATTTGACTTATTAGTTGTTTACCCAGACTTTGCTATTGATCTTAATTAATAGAGGGCATATTTAATTGTCTTAAAACTTTGAAATATATTTAACTGGTTCTCCAAGTCCTTTAAGTGTTTTACTAATTGGGAAAGCATATACGCACTTTTTTTTTTATTCTCACTTCTGCGCACAGTGACCTCAGCCTTATGGAAAGTCACAGATATTCAGCGTTTAATTTCCAAAACACAGCCATGTATTTTTTTTTTAAAAAACGATCTATTTTACAGTCCGTGGGACAGTTTTACGKAAGATAGATAAAGTCACCAGACAGAAAATGTTATCCACTTCAGAATCTCGTAAGGATGTTATCAACTGGATAAGCCAGATTTATCCACTGGATAGCGCTCCTCAGTACAATCAACCCCTATGGAGTGAATTGTCCAAAACAGTAAATTAAAGCGACCGCCTTCTATCCTCTAGCCGATCGGCACGACGGTACATATAAATTCCCAAATATGTATCGATATTTAAAGAATAAAATGCTTTGACACCTAACTATAAAGTTCTAGCGGACAAAAAACAAGATCGTTCTTGATTCGCATTGATTACGGAATGGTTTTTCTAGAACATCCTCTMGAATAATCTTGCCTATGAGGTGATAGACATTAAAAATTGAAAAAAATTACCTCCATCGAAGTTTAAATTGAATATTTCAGCTTAAGGAAGAACTGAATCACTTTTATGATTAATGCTAGATCATAAAATGTCTAGTAATGAACGCGTGGCAAATAAATGGCGYCACTTGGGACATTTGCAGGGGGGATATACTACTACTTGGTCATAATGAATTATTTATTTTCAAAAACACCTCCGAAGACCGAAGAAAAACTAAATAAAACTTGCCTCAGTTGGAAGCGACGACGTGAACAAAGCATTATTTTCAACTAAAACTGAGAGAGAAKGCGACGGTATAARTTCTATGTCAGTATAGAACTATTGATTGTAAAAAGAGAAACTMCTGTGTTTTTCTAGGTCCTTATTGTCTAAACGTTTCATGTCTGCAACACTAATTATGATTCATRACCAACTATGATGCACTGCGGTCGTGGACCTATTAGAAGACTTCAAAGCTAGGTTTAAKATCCATCGTTTTTAACAATATTTCAATCCAGAGAGTATTTATTTATTTATTTATTTTGTGCTTATCATTATTTCAATAACATAACTGGCAGAGGTAAGCGAATGTTCGCGGCTGGTGATATCTCTTTGAAAAGAGAACGATGAATTATGCGTGAAAGCAGGCTGTTTTCAACTGAGAAACGTCCATACAGCCAAAGTCTTGACGAAAAAGGTCGAATAGTTGAAACTGCTCTGGAAATTTTGGTGTGGACAGAAATATTTCAGCGGTTAACCAGCAACCGCTGTTTACAATGTGTAAAACGAGTATCACTTTTTCCGAAATAAATTCAAAATACAGTCCAATCCTTTGATTATCATTGCAATAGACAATTCCGCAGATGCGCGAACACTTTAAATAATTTATTACATCCCAGCGAATAAAAACAAGGCACTCTCTGGCCAGTGTCCCMWAGCTAAGAATATCCCAATATATATTTCAAAAAAATATAAGCCGGCGGAATTTGAAAGGGTTGTTCGGTCAATATGGCGGCACGTTTCATCGCAGACTCTAACAAGATACCTTAAAAATCCATCTTAATCATCGTCCTATTAGATTAATCATAAACAAACAGCTAGTAATAGCCTGATCCTGAACTACACGAATGAAGTCTTATGATTAAATCAAGTTTTTGGACACCCCCAGTGTCAAGCTTTTGAGAACGAGTGATCTAGAGCGCATGCTCGGGTCAAGATTGCAAACTCTGTCCTAACGATTGATGCACAAGTGAAAACTTCACATGCAAACAGTTCTTGTAAACAGTAACTTGACGGTTGGATGTTTGTGTTAAAAAATGYTAACTCTTCTTGCAGCTGTATTTTTTTAATTATTATTCTAATTGTCTAAGATAACGCTATGACATACTTCCTAGTTACGTGACAACTGCCGCGGTGCTGGATCAGTTACGTAAGGAAAATCTTATGAATTTGGAATAAAATCGAAATACTGCACATTTAAACTGTCTTTTTCAGTCTGATTGGTTGAACATCAGTCCTTAAATGGTTACAATTGGATTTACTTTTGTTCTATTTCATTTAAAAAAGTACGCATTAAATATTATGGTTTCCTAATCACGCACAGAAGAATTGAAGACGCTTTAATAAAATAAAATAATTAACTATTGTTTCCCCTGAGCCACGTCGTCAATTTTGAGCGTGTTAGAGTGGTTTTCATTAGAGTGGTTTTCATAAACCCGTGAAACAAAAACTATTAGTTAAAGTGTAATAGTCAGATGACAACAAAAGAAAACAATGGTATTAGGGTGTACTAAAGTGTATTAAACTAAAGTGTATTTCACGGGTTTATGAAAACCACTCTAACCCGTGAAACACACTTCAGCGTTATATCGCTATTACACTTTGGCTCCTTTGTTTTCTATTGTCTCTACGCGACTATTACGATCTATTACACTCTAATTATTACACTTTGTTTCACGGGTTTATGAAAACCACTCTATGTGCTAAGTCTGGCCTAAGTAGAACTAGTTGATAAGTATGTGAGCTTCGTTTTTTATTGTCTCTACGCGACTATTACGATCTATTACACTCTAATTATTACACTTTGTTTCACGGGTTTATGAAAACCACTGTAACTCAATCGAATGTAAGCAATTCTAGGGTCACGTGACGTCAAGGCGACGATCGTCGTGTACTCCAATCAAACGATCTCTTATCAGCTTCTCTTGTTATGTAAGCTGTCATATAATTTGTTCTGAATTTTCTCCTATTCTTTGTAGTCAACATTCTCCCCATGTTTTGTAAGTATAACAATAACAGTGAGAAAGCGCCGGCTTAAAATAAAATCTCCAATAAAAAGGAAATGGACTAAATATCCGCAAATCATTTTCATTTTGCTGYTGGGTGTTATCACTGTCGAAATTGCCATTCAAATGGATTTCCTTGAAGGCCAACGTGCATCGAAGCACCTTTGCACGACTTTCACGCATACAAAAAAATCCCCATCTTTGATTTTTGAACAAATCACAGAAAGTAACTTCCAAGAAACACTATCCAACCCAATTGGAAAAACAACTGGAGCTAATACATAGACTTCTGAACCTTTTACGTCACCAGTTGATTTGCAATGCATTGTGGGATCAGTTTCTAGAGAAAACAAATCCGCCATGTTTTGTCCCAAACATATCCTACAATGCAATGCGATTACGGTACATGACGTAAAGGATTCAGAAGTCTATTACTGGCAGTGCGCAGTAAAATCGTTAAGCGTTTTAMGCATCACGTGATAGACAATGACTTGTTGTCCGCTGTTTGGAGGCTTGTTAAGGCCGATTTAGACGGCACAATTTTTACCTARAACCATCGCATGCAATCTGCRTAAGTCATCCTTGCAACARGGCTACAACTGTRGTGGSGCTATTGAGCAATTGTTTTAAATCCCTACGACAGTTGTAGTCATGTTGTAAGGACGACTTATGCAGGTTGCATGCAAAAGTACAGTTGTGTCGTCTAAATCGGCCTTTACAGCACTAAGTGACGTCAAACCAAGACTCATTTTTTAGTTCTAAGGAGATSTGTTGATAATGGAAATCTCTATGCGCRTTGCCAGTCAGTTTCAGRGAAYGGCACTAAGTAAGCCTTGTCCACATATGAATATGAGGATCGCATGMRACTKTYATAAYCATGATATAGAAATAAAAGAAAGGAATAGTGCTCAATTAGAAGGAGGTTTATTCCGGGAAAGACCCTTGGAAATGAATTCGGAAAAATCAATTTCCGACCTCGCTGGGATTTGAACCCACGCACGTGACCACGACCCTCGGATTTGTACTACCGATGCTCTACCAGCTGAGCTACAAGGGAAGACTGGGAGCAGGTCGAGGTGAAATAGATGTTGGGTTGCAGTAGTTAGAGTGCAAAGATATGAATATGAGGACCGCATAGCACTATGATAAACATGATATAGAAATAAAGGAAAGGAATAGTGCTTAATTAGAAGGATGTTATTCCGATTCASATAATCGTGTGAATCACCCACAAACGCATTTTTTGCATTTTTCTTGATTACCCACAGGAATTACCAAGGGGACCTTTGGACACTAAGCTTAATTCCAAGAGTAAAAAGTGTCAAGGCTTTAAAGTGTTTGTTTAGACTACGTTGGTAACTCATAATGAATGCTTTCATGCCTTCATTGCCGTACACTTCTGTAGTGAATTGCCCATCGAAACCTGCTTTTTACTTATTGTACGGCCGAATATCTAGTCAAAATGCATCATTGCTGTTTTCCCATTGTTTTCTTACTCATGAGATACGTTTCGATCGGAAAACCACCAATGACAGCCAGTCTAAGTCTATTGTGCATTTCATGACAGTTCATCTTCGAACTGTGGCTTCCTTTAATTTGCGAAGCATTAGTGDCTTCTTAGGACGTCCAAAACGAAGTCTATTATTCAAGCATTGCRATAGCCAATCGTAGTGTCTGCTGATCTTAAATATGTCATATATGTTTAATGCGGTTTGAACTAATAACGCACTTTMGTGCGTTTATTTTCATAGTGTGACATACACAAACAACGCAGTCAAATTTGTTTGCTATCGCTGTTACGTCACAGTTGGTCACCAGTTTCCTGAGACGTTGTATAAAAACATTATTCCGTTGACAGGGATCACTTTCACATAATTCGCAATAACTATATGATTGCTCCCACTTTCATGCAATATGAATTCCTTGAAGACTGTGGCAGAGAAAGTCAAGCGTAGTCCGCAAATAATACGTAGAAAGTTCCAGTTTGTGCAATACGACAATTTGAACAAAGGTGAGGTTTAAAAGCCAAAGTGTTATTACTCTTGTAATTTAAGTTCTTCCAATTGGTTTGTGTAGTTCACTCGTTCGAATGTCTTACGCCTTTTGGTGTAACAAATAAGTGGAACAAAATTGGATTCTCAAATATCTCATTGGTCAAAAATACGAGGTTTTGTAAGTCGGTGWAATGTAGTGCTTCTCAGTTTAATTGGAAACCTACAAATTTTATTATCAGTAAATTAATATATTTGACATAGCGGCAAACATTTCTATTATTTCAAGTATTCGTTTTTAATCTTCTTATTTTCGTCTTTCAGTCATTTCGGAATATACATTGAGTACTTTGAATAATTACTGTGTTGTATATATTTAATTTCAAACTCGAAATTTAAAGCAACTCTTTCGAAACATATGGGACGTATGATAGATTGTTCGAATATAATATACTTGTTGGGAGAAGTGCTTTCATTTCCTGGTTGTCTGGGTTTCGATCGTTCAAGCTTTGCCGTCTTWAAATCGAGCCGTCATGCTGAGCAAGCAGGGAAAACTGTCATTATTCTGAAACTATCGACCACAAGTGACACTCAGACTTATATTATATTGAGATCTTTTCCGATCGTAAACGTTAGGCATTTTTTGAAATACTCAAAAGAGCTGTGTTTTTTTAAATTGAAATTATTTCTTTTGAAAAGCTTGATTGAATCCATGTAATTTATGCAAAGCTGGATACCTTTGTCAATAAATCTGTACTCGCATTACTATAGCAATAAATGAATTTGAATCAATATCTGAATCTGTAGAATAGGACCCCAGGGCCCTTCCCCATCTATTAAATTTTTGAAAATATTTTTCCAAAATAGATTTATTTTATAATCAACAATCTGTAAAATTGTCAAATGTTATTTTTTTCATCGCACTGGGAGAGTTAACAACATTCTGAAAGATTGTCAAAAATGARATTTATTAATTAATTTATTTTATTTTTCTTGTTTATTTTTCTTTTCCTGCCACTGCCTGATCTTYCAAAATTTGACAAAATCTGTCATCATTTATTTTTATATTTCCTGGATTAGCCGATCTTATGACAATCTGAAAGCTTGTCAAAAATGTTTTTTATTTATTCATTTATTTCATTTAATTTTGCATTTGTTTTTTTCCCTATCAGTGGTTGATCTTGTAAAATTTTAAAAAACTGTTGATTCTGTTATATTCCAWGGAAGATTATTCAAAATGACATTTATTTACTCTTTTATTTAATTTCATTAGTTTGACTGAGCAATAATTACTTTTTTTTGTGGCTGAGCTTGTTGATCTCTGCCCAATTGTCAAACATGATTTTTTCCCATCACTGCAGTTGATCTTATTACATTTTTGATTTTTTTTTTTTTTTTTCAACTTGAGATTCACACAATATTCTGACCAATTGTCAAGAATACTTCTTTTTCATCACAGGCCATATTATTTAATCTTACAATAATATCAAAAGTGTCAGGCACTTAATGCTATTATAAATATGTATTGTGCCTCCACTTATCAGAAAACCACAAATATAATGTCTGTTCTTTCTAACACTAAAGATATGAGGGTTGCGCTATTATAAATGACAACATGATGCACCCAATTGAAAGCAGATGTTTCAGACCAGATAATCAATATTCATGACATGAAGGTAGAATTTGTTTTGCCTCATGGTATGACTAAATTAGTATGTATGACAGCAGGGTAAATTCAAAAATGATTTGAATTCTGTGACTATATACCAATTCAAACACCAAATCTTCATTTTTGGGGATTGAAAATGAAGCTTTTTCAAAGAAGGAGCCACGGTTGGGAGAAATTAGATGATAAAAGAGTSGAGAACAGTGGWAGATCAACAAGACAAAAGGCTCGAACACCTCGACTGGCACTTAGGTTCACTACAAGAATTCGACATTTTCTGTCATATTTTAAGCCATTTGTTTGCTATCAAGGTAAACTGACCCTGCAATAACATTGACATCCTTAAACTTGGGCAAATACAAAAGCATTGTGATATAAACAAGTAAACACACAATGTACAAAATGAATTTCTTTGTAATGGTATTGAAAGTGACTTTCTAAATCCTTACTACAGTAAAGTGCAAATCTTCTTTTTGATACACGACTATCGATGTAAATTTGTATCAGTTTAAATTGATTGAAAATTACTCTGTTTTTACTGAAATTGATTGACATATTATTTCCTCAATATCGTCTGCTTAAATAATGTTTGTTTTTTAATCCAAATGCCATGATTGATTTATACTTTTAGTGAAATTGAAGTGCTTATAATCAGTAGTCAGACGTCTAGTACTTCTGTTCCTAAAAATACTATAATAATTCTAGTCATTCTAGTAAGTAGTACAGGATTTATAAACTAAAACATTGAACTAAAAAATGCCTGGCAATGAATTTTAAGAGCTGAGTGCACTAGAGTACTTTTAATAAAATCTAATCACTAAAATCATGCAAAATAGTACTGGCTGGACAATAGAAAACAAAAGTATTAGCATAAAATAGACTAAAACAGGATTACTAAAAGCACTATATAATTTATTCAGACATACATTTTTTTCAAATATATTGTTTGATATTTTTTACACCAGTTTTGTCTAGGAAATTGCAATATTATAAAATGAACATAATAATTATTACATAATAGTATTTCAGTATAGATTTTAAACCTGGGTTCAGTGTCGTGAAAATATATGGTGTATCAATTCAAAAATTTATTGCTTTCTGAACAAAGTAATTTTAAATTATCTAATTGGTCTACTCAGTGTTTTGACTAAAAACAGTAGATAAAGAGTATGATTCAAATCTTTAAGGATATTTAATAATACATATGAAATATGCATGAGATATCATATTTTTTGAAATTTTTATTTTAAAGCACAGATTTTTAATATGTAATACCATTTCCAAATCACAACTAGAAATGAAAAATACTTAGTGTGCTTGCATAGTGTAATAATCAATATTTGTAATTTACAGAGTTAAGAGAAGAGTGCTTAAATGATCCTGAACCATTGAAAGATGGAATATCCTTTTATTGTAAGGTACCGTAAATGTTTAATATTATCATGATTATAATGCACCTGTATTACTGGATGGTTCGACGAGAGTTTGCGTTATTTTGTGATGGTTTTATAATTTAGATGTAAATACTTTGATTATATTATTTTTAACCAAATTAAAAGCTTTCTTTTTAAAAGAATTAAGCAAAGGTACCTTGAAGGGACAGTTTAGAAACAAATTTTCGTTTGGCATCCTCTGAAGTCATCACTGTTCTCCTCTAAAGCGTGGATTTCACTAGCGTAAGCATAGCATAAGCACAAGCATGAGAATCATATGCGCTAGTGAGAACGGGCTCGACATAAGCATAAGACATTGAGCATGCACACGAGCGTATTATTTCGTTACCAGGCTATGCTTGTGCCTATGAAGTCCRGTTCTCACTGAGCATAAGCATTGAGATAAGCACAAGAAGATCAAGCCTTGCTCGTTTTTCTTGTGCTCATGCTTATGCTTATTTTGAGGCCGTTCTCACTGGCGCATATGACTCTTGTGGCTTCGTGCTTATGCCTATGCTTATGCGCTAGTGAAATCCACGCTTAAGGTTCTCACTACAAAGGAAGACCAAGAGGAGTTTATCAGTATATCAAGAGGAGGCTAAGTTCACCCCTCACTTCAATTCTTAGTTTTGGGATTCGCGTGTCCCTCACAAAGTCATAGTCGACGAAAGATAAAACATGAATACAACAGAAAAATTAACAGAGTTTCATAATATTATAATTATAGTGGCTGGGAACAAGTCAAGTWTTCAAAGCACAAGGAACGGGCTGCACAGATGGTGCCATTAAGCAGATAGTTGAAGATGCTAAAAAGGTGACTTCAAGAATTTCATTATCTCATTATTGATTCATAATAATCCTACTATTCGGGTCCTTTTTAGGGGAAAGATTTCTATTAAAACGAAAACGACCTCCAGGTCAATACTCCGCGTTTGCGGTTTCCCTGGTAGGTTTCCCGAACAATTCGATGTAATAATAACTTCAATACCAAAATTATACATTAAATTCTTGTCGTTAAGACTTGCACTTACCTCAAGACGAACGTCTGCTGCCATTTTCAGGTCTTTTTCGTGGAATTATTAAATAATATCGGGGGAAATAAGGAAAATATAAATGTTGCCCTTGCCCTTTGGTCTTCCGGTGAGATTGCCATATGGCGGGAAATTGACGCACGCGCGACAGTGTTTCTATGTTAACACAGGAAGCCCAAATTATAATCGGCATCATAATCGTTTTCCGTAGATGAAATCATCAAAAGATTCCCGAGAGAAGAAGTTACAAAAAGTGCTTGTAATTGTCACCACGAAAAGTCTTAAAATAGAAGATATGGCTACAAAGGTATAATTTTGACAATATACTATAAAAATTATTCCAATTTTTATTTCAATTTATTTTGTTTGATTATTGATTGATTATGAAATTTTCCACCAAATCTTTTTACAGACATTAAAAATGGAAATACCAATATACAGAATATCGTATTGTACAGCAGATCCTAACTATCCTAAAGTGTTTGCTTTTATTGCGAGACAACAAGGCTGTAAAGTTCTACAATGCCACGCACTTCTCTGCAACAAAGAATCAATGGTATGTACATCGCTCTATTGCTTTGCTTGCTTGCTTGCTTGCTTGCTTGCTTGCTTGCTTGCTTGCTTGCTTGCTTGCTTGCTTGCTTGCTTGCTTGCTTAAATGGCTTATGTGCATGGTTTATTTTGCTTGTCGTGGTGTTCAGTTAATTCGTTTATTGCACCTTATTTTGTGTTAAACATTCTCTATTGAGCTAATACACTGAACTTCAACTTAAACTGAACTCAATCATTTCAGGCAAAAGCGATCTCACTCACTGTCGCCGATGCCTTTTCATCAGCTTATGACAAATTRGAGGACCAAAKCCAGCCMAAAATAACGCAGCCCTTGCGGGAGATGACGTCCTCAGAGGTAGAAACTCAGCCCTCAAAACCAGTATCTCTACTAGTTCTCAGCCAAYCAACAAGTACAGAAAACAKAGGYAACTCTTTTCAAGACGATTGTGAAAACAATTTACCAATAAAAGCAAGTAATCCTTTTAGAAACGAGGATACGAACTCCAATGTTACGAATCCATTCACCCAGGAAGAMAAAAAACTCCAACTGAACAAGCGTCCACTGTCAGAGTATTGCGTGCACGGGCCTCATATAAAGATATCTGGGGATGAGTTTCTAGCAGCCGCTTCSAGCGYTGGTTCGTCACATAGTATGAYAGCATTGGTAAGAACATCGATATTATTGGCTTAGAAATCGTCAACACTGAAATATATTTTCGGAACCGCATGTAAGCTAATTACCCTTTCAGTTTGACGAAAACTGTGAAAACGCTTTTCACAGAGCATATTTTCGAAAACAATTATAGTTTCCATGTAAACGCAAAGAAAGTCATGTATGGTCTCAAAAATCTTCGTTTTGGGGTCTGTATTAGATCATGCACACTTACGGAATCTTGCGCCTTGAATCAACGTTGACACCACTGGGTATTTCTTTAAAATAACAAAAAATTTCAACTACTACTAAACAACTTTAAACTAATAACTTTTATTCTTGTACAGGATCTTGCAGGTGCAACGAATTATGACGATTTTGATGTAGAGTTCACAAGGTAAGGAATTACAATATATATATAAAGCTGAACTGAAATATGTTGCCTTCCAAAAACATAAAAATTTTAAATAGATATTTTATTGATGTGTTTTATCAATGCTCTTGGTGATTCTTGAGAGCATAATTTTGTCCATTCACCCGTCATCTTTCAAGTTGTATGTTAGCCGCGCCGCCATGTTGYATGACAAAGTAAAAATATTTACTCATTAGCCCTTCCTATATCATCAAACATGGTGGCGATAGCTTTTTTCAGTCTTTTTATTTTTAGGGTGATTTTTTGTCATGATTTTTTTTTTTTTTCTCTTTCAGGCTTGCTGAGGGACGCTCAAATTCCAATCTCTTTGAGACTCCAGTACGAAGAAGTGATTTACAAGAAGATTTGTCAACGCTTTTAGCCAATGAAAACACGGCACTTGAGCTCATGAATTCCAAATCAACGGAGGATTTGTTATTTTGATGAAAATASTGTATGTTGATTTGTAAGGGCACTGACGAAGGACCAAGATGMCYTTCCTTAGTGAACAAGGGAAAGCTCTGAACGAAAACGAAAGAAATACAAAAATACATTGAYCAGAATTCTATTTTTCTTGGTGAAACGGGAGACAGAGCTGCTAATACATTAAATATTGATTACAAAATTACAYCAATTTTCTGGGTCTCACGGTGAGTGACCGCTGATATCATCTCTTGCATGATAAGTGAAGCTCATACCTCGATCAATTAGCTCTAGCTAATTTTATGTTACAGCTTGTATATTTGTTATTGTCAGAATTATCTTTCTGAATGCTTGAATGTAAATAACTCCAGTGAATTCATCATAATCAAGTTGTTATGAAGTCCTTGAGCTCCAAATATACAAATCAGAGACAGGGCGGGACAACCCATCGCCAAAGAGGAAACAGTCGGAAGGTAAATTTTTAAACATCGGAGACCTGAAGGAGAAGTCGTCTTCAAAACAATAGTCTCCTTCGCAGCCTTCTTTTGTCGTGGTTTATGTTCCTACTCCTTCTTTTGGGAGTGACAGGAAGGCCGACAAAAGGGAAGGTAACGAAGGAGGATATAGAAAGAAGGACGAAATGTAAACAAATGTTGAAATAATGAAMGAAGTGGAAGATTTCTCAGCTCTGTTTCTCGAAGTCTAATTTAGAATGAATGAATGCTCCATATGAATTATATTTCAATTTTTTTGACATTTTTGTATAACTAGATATATATTCATAGAAAAATTATTTATAACATCTATAAAATGTCATTTGTATAGCTAAATGAGGTTATTTTGATTAAAGTTCAATTATTGATCGTTAGGTAACGACTTGAGTTTTGTGARGGTGGAAGCACYGAGAATCGTTAACTCTGATGAAWTCAAAACAATGGATTTAGTTCGAGGCTGTAGTTTTCGACAAAWTAGATAAAACMTCAGTGTCGACTTGAAACAATTTAATTACACGCGCGCGTGCAATGACAGAGAAGCATGCGCAAACTGACTATGCTGCTGACATAGTGAAACTCTCCTGKAAAGGTGTTCGAGTCATCCACAAGCAAGRACCAAAAACACSTATACATTTTSCACTGTTTTTGTATGAGACCMGTATCATAATTTAGTTAATAGTTCAATGACGCTTGACATCGATGGTCTATTGGTTGGGCTCTCGTTGACACAGTCACGGATAAGTCTTTTCAGGCTTTCATTCCATACTTGTGTTATTTGTCTTGTTCTGTTCTCAGGATCAGGTGGTTTGCTGGTAATCAGCTCACAAAGGAGTACTCCATAGCTAAATACATCCACCTAGAACAACCAATCAACAATGAGTACTCCATAGTAAAATACATACACCTAAAACAACCAATCAACAATGAGTACTCCATAGCTAAAAACATCCACCTAAAACAGCCAATCAACTCGTCAAATATAACTTTTCAAGGGCGGATCCAGCTGAAATTTAATTTGAGGGGGGCTTAATGGGTTTTAATTCTTATTAACAACATTGAAGAAATAATAGAAATCAGTTCGATTTTCCAGCACTGAGGTAGCCCCATTTTCCGCTCCCTGTATCCGCCCTTGCTTTTCATTAGCATGATGCACAAAAGCACAACCGCCATGTTGAATCTCCGGTTTCGAAGCAACATATCACACGCCTTCGGGGCTAAAGCTAAAGAAGAGAGATTAGATTAATCGAAATAAACGGGAGTGTTGTTGAAGGCTAATGGTCTGCTAGCAATCAATATATTCATTAACTCAAGCATCTACTCAAGCATACGAAAAAGCAGTACAGCCGCCAACATGAATACTCGCCGGTTTTGATACCAAATATAACACGCCTTCGAGGCTAATGTTAAGGAAAAGAGATTAGATTATTAATCGAAACGGCAGTGTTGTTGAAAGCTAATGGTCTGCAAAATGATTATGGCTACATGTTGATTCGGCGAAGTGCATCATTTGGTATATGGATCATAACATAAACATGGCGGGATATTTATAAAAAAAGCTACAATGTCGGGCGAAGTTTCCTTTCAAAATAAACGTTATCCATTGAAATGAACGCTGCCATACGAAAAATGAGAAAATTTTATTTATTTACAATGAATACATTATCCAAGTAAAGATTCAGTGATTTTTGAGATAGCTACATACCTTATCAGTTTGCTTTGGTGARTCGACTTCCGGTGCAGAATAAAAAGGATTTCCAGGATTCACGGACATGTTATCACTCAGGAAGTCCGCTGAACCAAAATCACACAGTTTTCCACGCCATACATCACCGTGTTTCCAGACCATAATATTACCCGGGTTAATATCGCGATGGATTATGGGACGAGGTCGAAAGCAATGCAAATAGTTAAGTCCGTAAGCAGTATCTTTACCAAGTCGAATGACGCAACTCCTAGTTAACACTCTCTCTCGGCTGAGCAGGTCCGAGAGAGACATGTCCATGAGTTCGGTTACTAACAGTGGACTTGTGGAWCGATACCCCGCRACGCCAAGAAACTGCAAAATYCAGGGATGTCGTACAAGTGTAACGAATGTAATTTCTCGTTCAAATAATTCTTTATTGTGCGSTGATTGGATAATCTCGTGAAGCTCTTTCACAGCGACTTTTGTYCCTCGAAATYTTCCTTCATAAACACGACCCCAGGCCCCTGTCCCGAGAACTCGATCAGTTAGTACAATTTCGTCTTTTGCAATCATCCATGGTTGGTCTTTTCTTAGGATGGCCGCTGACTGTTTTTCGCGATTTCGATCGGCTTCAATGTTATGAAGTGTTCGTTCCTGWGCCTGTTGATTGGCTTGCAGTCGTCTTAATTGCTCTTCAGATGATCGTAGTCTTGAGGATGTTTCTTGTCCTGCGCGTCGCTCCGCTTCAAAACTCTGCTCCAAGGTCCTCTTTTCTTCATTTGTCTGGCGTAGTAGTCTCTCACTTCTTTCTAATTCGCGTTCTTTGTTGCTTAAAGCAATGTCTTTGTTTTTTAATTCTTCTCTTACTTGTCTTAAATCTCCTTCAATCTTATTGAGTGCTTTCCCTTTCCCACTTGCCTCCATTTCTTTTTGGTTAATTCTGATTTTATCTCTCTCTTTTTCACGCATCAGTTTATCCAGATTGAATTGTTTTTCCATTGCRTTTCGTTCACTTTCTCGTAGTTGTCTCTGAAGCTGCTCCTTTTCCGAGTTTAAATTTTGTAAAACTCTCCTGCCTTCAGCMATAAGACTCTCTTTATCATCAAGTTGTGATTTCAAACGCTCGTTTGCTTTTGTCAAAGAATTTTCCTTCAAGCTTCCCGCGTTCTCTCGTCGGACGCCATTGCTTTTCTTTGCCTTCTTGTCTTCTAGCTCAGTGTGCAAGAGATTTATGGTCTTATTTGCCTCCTGAAGCTGTTTCTCAAATGATAATACCTCGTTTTGTTTACGCCTTAAAAGGTTTTCTTTCTCTCTTAGTTCATTTTGAATGCCTTCATTTGTGCTCTTTAAGGTTTCATTCTTTGAACTGTAATCTTGAATGATCTCATCTTTGCTTGTAATGAGCTGGTCTCTTTCTTCCAATCTTCTTAAACCATTCTCATTCTCCTCAATAAGATTTTCACAATATTTTTTYCCGTGGTGTATCATTTCTTTCTGGGACCTTATTTCAATGGCTTGTTTTGTAATCAAAGRCGTCATGTCTCTCTTCTTTTTCGGTATGTTTACAACTATTTCATTTTCTTCCGAATTGGCTGTGTTTAAATCCATYTCATCTTTGCTTCTCCTTCTATTTCCCTTCTTTTCTTTGGGCTTTTTAGCTTTCTTGTTGTCACTTGAATTGGATATTTTTACCTCTTGAAACGCATTATCTTCTGTTAGGTCAGAACTATTGACCATCTCGAAGCTCTGTGATCGTGTGATGGTCGCTTCCTCTTGCTTTACATTCTTAYGGATAAAAAAAACGAATGTCAGGGATTAGAGTCAAGTGAAGGACAGACAGCAGTGAAACATTTCAGCCTTCCTACCTCGCCTAAAATTATTTGTGTTGTTTCTAATTAAAAACAATAAACTAAAAAAGCGTATAGCATGATTAGGCCTCGCCTCGCCCACAATGATGCGTATTTGTGGCGTTTTTTGCATTGTTCTTCATTTCCTTAACAGCGGACAGTACAAAAACGTTACAAAAACGCAACAGTGTTTGGCGAGGCGTATCACAGTGACCTTCATGCAGAGGTTTGTATTTTAACTCATCCGTCTTCTGTGACTTTTGTTCACCCTTCCCTTGATGCAACAAGAGCTCACTAATTCTTTCAAGCAGTCCCAATTGATTGGGCACTAGTCTAGTGATTGGCAGTGCTCTAGCGGTTACAGTAGCCGATGTAAATCGATATCTATCAATATCGATACCAATAAAATACCCATACCAATAAACCCCCTTCATGAATTTAGATTCATCTTAATAGAAAGAAGCGTTTAGTCTCTCGCTCCCTGAATTTCCTACATGGAAACCATTCGCAAAATCATAGAATGCGATTAAACACCTTGAACAATGCTATATCGAAATATCAAAGACGTTTTCCTTAATCTCTCCATTTGATAGGCGGATGCTATTGTATATTATGACAAAAACCCTTAAGAAACTGGTTTTAAGACTTTTGCAATGAGTGAGCAAAGTTAATCCTCACAGAACACGTACCTGTCCGGGTGACACATAATGAACTTTGGAAAAATTGTCGGACTCTATAGGCAACTGTCGAAAGATTATTGTACAACCGAAAGCTAGGAACAGCAGTTTAGTTTGTATTTTTCAACATCAGTAGCAATGTCCTTTAAAATTACTGCAATAGTCACTTAGGAAAGCTCCTTTTGGTCATGCAAGCACTGTTCAACCATTGGTATATGGTCGTTTGCTCTAGCTGCCCAGCATGAATTAGTTTATAAAATTAAGTTTCGCTGTCGAATGTATATGCATATGAAGCTCCTTTGTGATGTATCAATAAGCTTTCATGGATCAACTAATACTATACAAAACGAATTCAACGTTACAAAAGACGATAAGCGAGAGACAATAAACGATTTTTCAATTATGTTAATGTCCTTAAATATCAACACYAAGCGATTTCAAGTGAAGCTYCAACCAAAGTTTTTGTTTGTATAATTCAAGGCAATGCGTAGAAAGTACTGTAAAAATGATTGTTGAAAGTGTCTATCTATGTCTGATCAGTTTATTGGTAGATAGACGCGACGTAGTAATACTTAAATGTGAAAATATTCTTTAGAACCGACAAGTTGTAGGTCTTTAGACTTACCTGATTTCCCATAACTTTTTCTTGATCAAACTTTGCAGTATACACAAGATACTTCAACTTAAATCAACAGCWTGACATAATGAATCATTCGATGCAGATTTAACTGGCTTGAAATACTCAACAAACCGAAGACAGCACGAAAAATATAGGAAATAATGTTCAGTGAATTCAGTTCCTCYACTAAAAGGGTATGTACCCAAAGCTGAAACTGATGTAACAGTCGTTAAAACATTACATACAATTCAAGGAACTTACGAAATTKAAAACGTTACAGCGTCTCGCTTAAAATATATTTGTATACAAATGACAAGAATTGGTGAACCGAAAAATCATGTGAAATGACTCATATGACGTCATTGCTTAAGAAGAAAGTCAATGACGTCATCTGCTTGACTTTTTCTTTTGTTTGATTTTTATGATAAATTGCCTTGCCTTTTCCTCTCTTTTCAACAAATACCTGGGAAGAAGCATTTGTATATGATATAATAAACGGTCTACCTCGCCCCCTGGTCTACTTTTCTTAATCGTCTATTTTCAACATGGCGAGAAGAGCCTGTCCCGGAAACGAGTTGCGGAAACAACTACTTTTGACGTGTTATTACACGGGGTGACCTACGTAGCACGCAGTTGATGTAATGTATTAATAAAATGTTTTGTATTCCATTGTTTCTCGTTCTATTAGCCATTTTTATGTTATAAAATGAATTGTAATTTCTGTCATATTGAGCCAATCGAAAAACTAACCATATCGCTAAAAAGACTTTATCGACTTTAGTGTAGGTTCCAAGTTACAGATCATTTGGACAAATATTCAATTAATGAGAAGCCGTGCAATTTACAGAGAATGTATGGGGATTTTGACCGCGTCCCCCAAAACAATACATTCTCTGTTAATTTGATGAAACTAGAAACAAATACTGTTCAGCTAGTTTTTATCCAAACGTTRTGAAACTTGGTATARATACTAATTTTTGGGTGTCCTTTCAACTGGTGGGGTTTGTTTCGTGAATAGATCAATATTTCTTTGATTAGTGCCCAGTCCCCTGCGCAACGTCGAAATGGCCAATTMTATTATGTGTTTTGTATTATATCTTTATGAATATATTACATCGACTGAGTGCTACGTAGATTCTCCCGTTATTACCCATAATCCTATCGCTAAGTTAGAATTACTTTTAATTTTGGATACCTACACGGAACTGTGTCTACTTTGAAGTGCACACACTAGTAGCGCAGGATATCATGGGTATACTTCGGTCTCAAAATGATTATTTTGTGTTTCGTAGCAAAATAAATAATAATAAAAAACTTTCCACAACAGCAAACTGACACATCTCTAGGCTCTTTCAATCAAATAGCTTTTGTTTGTATGTGAGTTAAACCCACTTCAAATTTAATGCAAAAAAAAACAACAATAAAGGTGTGTACAAGTTTAGTTCCCCTAGTTAATCTACCATTCCTATTCCTACTACACCAGTTCGTATCTATTCGAAGCACCACTAACCAACTATTGTATACCGCTGGCAACGAATGAGACATTGCCCACATAATAATGTAGCCTTTCAGTAGCCACAATACAGTGTGTCAATTAATGAAAAAAGTCGCTGGCAATCTCCTACCCAGGACCAGAGCCTTCGTTTTCTTGGCCAGCGCACTCAAAATATAGGCCATTTGCATGATGGCGTCATTACTACAGCTACCAGAGAGCCTTGCGCATTTTAATTCAGATTTTAAATCCCTACTGGAGATTAATAAATTGCAATAATTGCACTACAAAAGAAAGTTGTCAAAGCATTCTGATAGTTGTAGTAAATGACGCCATCATGCAAATCGGCTATTTAAGGTGAAGCATATCAAAGAATTGTATGTCATTCGTGCGAGATCCCTAAGTTTTTTAGTTTAGGGTTTCCTTTAGCGAATCCATGCCATATATGGAAACAAATAAAATGGTGGATTGTTCAGAAGTGTTTTCGCTATAATTTTTGTAAGTTTCACACAATTTCAAGTTTTTTTCACGTCGAGAAAATTGCCAAAAACATATGCATAGTACATATATCTCGAAAGTTTGAAATTGTGAATGAGTAGAAGGCAAGATAGAATTTCTTTCTGTTTGTAACCAAGGCTGAAGTAATCTCCTATAATGTTGTTTCTTTCTTCACTGTTATCCGCCATCTTTCTCACAGCGTAGCCAGAGCCCGCGATAGATTTGGTCTGCGCCTAATTTTCCGGAAATGACGTAAGATGAACAGTCGAGGTATATTATATGTCGACATATAAGTCACCTTATTTAAAAAGTCGAGATATATGTCGACTTATATGTCGACATATAAGTCACCTTATTTAAAATGTCGAGATATATGTCGACATAATAGTGAAGAAAAATAAAGCAACATGGCCCTTTAGGGGCCGCTCCCTACATATGATAATAATAATAATATAATAATAATAATATGTGTTATTTATATAGCGCCGATATCCTCTGAGTTCAAAGGCGCTTCACATGTATAGATCATTTCACACNATTATGTGGTGACAGAATAAGTTCGTGGATTTGCTTAACTGCTACATTGCTGCTTCTGAAAATCCCGACCTTGACCGTTCCCCAGGCACCGTTGCCAAGTGATACGTCTGTCAGCGTCACTTCCTCCCGACGAATTATCCAGTCACGCGGCTCTATACGACGATGCTCATCAAGAATACTTTGTGAGTTGTTCACGGTTGTCTGAAGCTCTTGTATTCTGCGTTCGCTGTCTGCAAGGGAACTTAGGCTCTCTCGTAGTCGTTGCTCGTAAGATTGTCGCTCCTGAGCAAAAGAGTCCGATTCTTCTTGTCTTCGACGTAGTTCTTGGACAAGTTCATTCTCAGTTGACTCAATCGAGCAACGCAATTCATCGTTTTCGAATCGAAGGCACCGAAGTTGATCTTCAAGGTTTACTCTTGTGCAGTGCTCATCTTGGTAGCGCTGCTCACTTGCTTGTAACCGCTCTTCTCTTCTCCGCAGCTCGTATCGTTGGTTCTCAATTTCGTTTATGTGTTTAACAAAATCGTCTCGCATGAGCTGACGGTCTTCTTCTAACCTTCGCCTTGCACATTCCTCCTCAGAACACTGCCTCCTTATTTCTTCAATCTCAGCCTTCTTTACTTCTAACTCAGTGTACAAAGTATTTATTGTATTATTTGCCTCCTGAATCTGCTTCTCAAATGATAGTACCTCGTTTTGTTTACGCCTATAAAGATTTTCTTTTTCTCTTAGTTCATTTTGAATGCCTTCATTTGTGCTCTTTAAGGTTTCATTCTTCGCACGGAAGATTTTAATGGTCTCATCTTTGCTTGCAATGAGCTGGTCTCTTTCTTCTAATCTCCTCAAACCATTCTCATTCTCCTCAACAAGATTTTCACAATATATTTTGCCGTGGTGCATCATTTCTTTCTGGGACCTTATTTCAATGGCTTGTTTTGTAATCAAAGCCGTCATGTCTCTCTTCTTTCTCGGTACGTTTACAATTATTTCATTTTCTTGCGAATTGTCTGTTAAATCCATATCATCTTTGCTTCTACTTCTATTTCCCTTCTCTTCTTTGGGCTTTTTAGCTTTCTTGTTGTCACTTGAATTAGATATTGTTACCTCATGTTGAATCACATCTTCTATTGTGTCCATGATCTCGAAGCTCTGTGATCGTGTGATGGTCGTTTCCCCTTCCTTTTCATTCTTAGGGATAAATACAAAAGTAATCAGATTAGGGATTAGAGTCATAGACACTCTAGTGAAGAACAAAAATTGCAACTGTACAAACTAAATAGTGCTATTTAGTTGTATTTAGCAAATCCTGCAGCATGTGGTATGCTAATTAAATTGAATTGATACAAATGTGGCATTCAAAACTGTCTTGCTTCAGGTCCACTTTTAGAGTGCAAATTAGCCCTACTTACATTTTGTACAGTTGCAAGGTTTAATTGCGATCACTCGTACTGCTTTCAATAAAAGAGCGAAACATTACATGTAATAATACTATTCTGTACCGATTTCGACCTCGTTCCCAGTCCCTTAACCGTTCGCTTGGGGTTCAAATAACTTACAACAGCTCAAGCATGCAAAGAAAATGTATTAACAAACATTGAGCAATCCTTCCTTCGCTTCGTAGATAAACATTTTCCAAAGACTCACTTGAGAGTAGCAAATTATTCAACCGAAACAACTTAAAAGTAAGCTACAGCTGCATGCCGAATATGAGCAGCATCATAAAACGGCACAAAAAAGATCCTCAGTACAAATGCGAGCACAAAAGGTGAAGTGAAACTGCCGACAGACAAACCTATTTCCTCTCGACGGTGAATGCAAAACGATTAAAAGCATTGTTTGCCAAGGTTACGAGCGTTAGGCGACACAAAAATCTATATTGGAATGACCAATATCTTTCAACAACCACAACAAGTTGTCCAATAAAACCTCATCAAACAAGTATGGGACTTGAAGACTGAACAAATAACATCCAATTTCAAATAAGTGGAAAGTCATCAAGCACGCTAAATCATACAATGGAAGTCCTTCAGGGTGCAACCTTTACCTGGCCGAAATAAAGGTGCATTCTAGTGGAAAAGAATCCACTCACTCCTTCACAAAAGGATTGAGCTAATATCTAAATGCAGGCACGAGAACAAATTTTACGCCTAAACAAACAAACAAACAAAAAAACGACAACAACAACAACAACAAAACTATATCTAAATAGAGCATCGAGCTAAGATCAGTAGCCTGATTATCGCAAAAGTTGCGTGAAACTTAAGTGCGTGAAACTTAAGTAGCTCAAAGTCCTTGTGACATATATCCTACATATATTATACTATAAATAGAATAAATCGAAGAAAAAGGCACACAACTTGCAACTTGTTTTTCTACTCTTTATGGACGTTTCGGGCATTCGCCCTTCTTCAGCAAACACATATTATATTATATATACTGTACGCTCTAAGCTTGCTTCCGTCTCGTGTTTTTCAACTCCCAACGTGTTTATATCAGCGCGCGTGTATATTAAAACATTACGCAACCAAAATTGTTTACAATTCAGCCAATGTTTTGTCAAACGGTAAGTACCATATGCTCTACAAATATGAAATATTTTTGTTTGTATACTTCAAAGCAATACGTAGAAAGCACCGTAATAAAGTGTCGATCTCTGATTAATTTATTAATAGAAGTAGTGGCTATGCTGTGAAAATTACAAAGTTGTAGCTCATAGTCCCTCTCATAAATTACCTGATTTCCCATAGCGTTTTTATTGAACAAACTTTGCAGTATACGCAAAGTACTTCAACCTCAATCGACAGCTTGGTAATAATGTATCATTTTCTGTCAGATTCAACAAGCTTGAAATAATCAACCACCGAAGACGACACTGGAACTAGGAAACGATGCTCAGGAATTCAGGTCCTCGATAAATAGGGTACGTACCCTAAGCTCCAGCTGATATAACGTTCGTTAAACCGGTCAAAAATTGTCGTTAAAGAATATTAAATACAATTCAACACAAACTTCCAAAGTTGGAAATCTTTCGTTGTCTCACAAAAAAATTTGCACAAATGACAAAAATTAGTGACCCGAAAAATCACGTGAATTACATTATGATTACGTCATGTCTTATATTTTTCTATTCTTAATTCAATGTATATAGTTTCCTCTCCTTTCGAAATATATCACTGTGAAGGAGTAGCTGTACATGGTGTAATGAATCGATTACCCTCGCCCCCAGGGTCTGCTACTCTTAATCTTTATTTTCAACATGGTGAGAACTTGAGCGAGTGCCGGAAACAAGTCGTTAAACAACACTTTTGACGTTATTACCCACAATCTTTTTCGCGTAAAAGTTGGAATTACTTGTTATTTTGGATACTTTCGCGAAACTATATCAATAGTAGCACAGGGTATCATATGTTCTTCAGTTTCAAAATGATGATTTTGTTTTTAGTTAATAGCAATCTAGAAAAAAAATAGACATTCCACAAGAAATTTGACACTTAATCGTCCCTTTCCAGAGTGAGTTGAACCCATTTCAAATTTAATACAAAAAGACCATAAAGATATGAACAATCTTATATTTCATAGTTCTTCCATTTTCGTTCCTACTACAGTACTCGTATCTATTCCATTCACCGCAGTAAAACCTGCGGACTGCACGTGTTGAAAATAGATAAAAGAGGTTATTAACGCTTCTACTTCAATACATTTGAACACATCATAAAGCTTCAACAAAATTGTTTTCCCTTTACAAGAAACCATTTCAGTACAGTAAGTAACTGTCACATAAAATGGCGAATGTCAATGGAAGAGCGGCGATTGCACGACCGAAAGTATCCATGGGTTTTGCTTGGTGAAATGTAATAACAACTGATTTGTACTGTAAGAAGGTGTGTGGTACGCCTAGGGTCCATTTAGTCTCCATTTATATATAAGGTGAATCCAATAGGTGAAATTTTGTTTATATCAAATATAAACAGTGCAACCATAGTCCCTTTCGGTCGTGCAATCTCCCTTCGACAATGGCCGTTCTCTCCGACGTTTTGTGAAATAGCTGTATACACTTTTAGACCACTGAC